TCTGCGATGCCATCAGCCACTACATCGACGGAGGTGAGTGGGGATGTCCAGCTCTCGTCGACAGTCTATGCTCATCCCGCTATGATCAGTCTTCTTCGCCACCGTGGCTATGCTGCTCACGGTCATGATGGTATACAAGTACTGGGACTGTGAGTGCGGCTTGGTCTGCAATCAGATACGCTTCTGTGGTGCTGAATTCCACCCGCAGCAATCACCAAGGAGGACCTCGAGTTCTCTGTCGGCTCCAAGGCTGCTGTGTGGGAGGTCAAGGACCCCTTGATGAACGTGAGTGGTAATCTAGAGCGGGTATATGCACGGGCCACGCTGATACAGACGCTGCAGCCCAACGCGGATTACTACACCGAGGACGACTCGCAGTCCAGCTACCGAGGGGCTGGCGGCTCCTTGGTGGGTGGCATGGGAGGTAACCAGTATTATGGTTACGGTGGAGGATACGGCCAGCAGTCCACGTACGGAGGACAAGGCTATGGCGGCGGTTACGGCGGACAACCGCAGCAGCAGCAACAGCAGTATAGCGGATACCACTGATTGGACCTCTGGCGTTCGGACCGGACAGAACGATGCAGCCGCGTCCACGAAGCAAGTATGGACTGGACAGTCGAGCTATTTTTTTTACCCTACCTTTTAGGCCTCGGCCGTACGTACGTAGCGATCACTTTTATATCTGTATTCACGACACGAATGGACCATGATGACTGTTCTGCCGCCTATGCCCGTTGCTTTTGTGCGCCAGCAGCCACCCACGCTTTCCAAGCCAGAAGCATGCATAAAGCGAACAAGCTGGTCTCTTTTAGCTAGACAAGCTTCGGCAGCGGGTTCCGGGAAATCGCGCGTGACTGGTTGGAATTTCCGGTTGGTTCGGTCCGATTTCGGTGGAGGCGGACCATTTCTCCCGTGGGTGTGGTGTAGATGGGGTGGTATATAGCTGGCGGTGAGGGGGGTGTGTTGGGCGGGTCTTTGATACCGGCTAGGAGAGAAGACCACGGTAGTTGTCCTTGATTCCGCCCGCTACATAGCCAGCTACACCATTAGAACAGAACGTCCCGCAGAATGTCAACAGAACAGCGACCTTCGGTAGGATGGATCGGCCTCGGCGCGATGGGAAGTGGAATGGCCACGGTGAGTAGGGGGATGTCGCTGCGTTGGCCAGACCTCAAGTAGGAGGGCATGAGGTCATGAGGGCATGAGGGCATGAGCGCATAAGCGAGCTGGCTGGCTGGACGGCTGACAACGCTTCGGTGTAGTCCCTCGCCTCACAGGGATACTCTGTCAAGGCGTTCGACGTCTACCCTCCGTCCCTCGACGCGGTGGTCAAGAAGGGCGCCACGCGAGCTGGCTCGCCGACCGAGGCCGCCGAGGGGATCCAGGTGCTGAGCTTGATGGTGGTCAACGCGCAGCAGGTCGAGGATCTGCTCTTTGGCGAGGGCAGGATTGCCGAGGGTAAGTTGGTCCGGTCTTGGCCTGTCGTCGGGCGAGCTGACATCCTGCGTACCATCAGTTATTCAGAAAGACGCCGTCATCATCTGCTTCTCCACCGTGCCCCCTAGCTACCTTGTTAGCGTCGCGGAACGACTGGATGCCCTGGGCAAGAACATCGGCGTAGGTGGTTTCCCTCGCCTGGCGGTGTGATGCGCAACGTGGCAGCGGCTGACCCGCGTCAGCTGTGCGATTGTCCCGTGTCGGGCGGATCGACCCGAGCGGCCTCTGGCGAGCTTACCATCATGTGCTCCGGCACGTCGTCCTCTGTCGACCGGGCCCAACCCGTCCTGGCGGGACTCACGCAGGCGCCCGTCGGAGCCCTGAGCATCGTCGGGGACAAGGTCGGAGCTGCCAGTGATTTCAAGTTGATCAACCAGGTGTTCTGCGCCGTCCAGATCGCCAGTCAGGGAGAGGCCATCGCCTTGGCCAAGAACTGGGGGTTGAACGTCAGGCTCGTTTACAAGCTCGTCAGGGGGGCCAGCGGGGACAGCTTCATGTGTGAGTCGGTGTGGCGTGCGTCTGCGGGCGCTCCGAGCCAGGCTTCATAGCTGACTGCAGCTTGTCGCCTCAGTCGGCCACAGGGTCCCCTGGTCGCTCAACTACGACGGGATCCCTAAATCCGCCATGACCATCATCAACAAGGACATCGGTATCGTCATGGACGAAGCTCGGTCCTTGCAGTTCCCCGCGCCCATGTGCTCGGTCGCAGAGACCCTGTTCACCATGGCCATCGGCGCGGGCATGAGTCGAGAGGACGACGGGTTCATCTCCAAGCTGTGGGAGAGGTTCGGCGCCACGCCTATCGGGGAGAAGGGCACCGTCGAGGAAGAGGAGGACAAGGCCAAGGAGCTGGATGTCAAGCCTGCGTCGGGTGACGTCGGCAAGGTCCTCGTCGTGGGTCTCGGCGCCTTGGGCCTGCCCATGGCCACCGCCCTCAAGTCAAAGGGACTCGACGTGTCGGGATACGACCACCACTCGGAGGCAAAGAGCGCGCTCGCCAAGGCCGGCGGTCAAGGGGTCGACGACCTGTCGTCAGCCGCCAAGGAGGCCAGCGTGGTTCTCCTCGTGCTCAACACTGCCGCTCAGGCCGAGGAGGTCTTGTTCGGTACCGGGACGACGGAAGGCGGCTTTGCCTCTGGTAAGTTGACACCTGTGTGACCTGGCACGTGCCAAGCTGACTCTCGGATGCTCCTCCCCAGCCCTCCCCGAGAACAGCACCGTCATCATCTCTTCCACCATCGCACCGTCCGAAGCCACTCGAGTCCAGACCCTGCTCGACGGCGTCAGTCGCGGACTGCAGCTCGTCGACGCGCCCGTCTCGGGCGGTCCGACCCGTGCGACCAAGGGCGACCTGTCCATCTTTGCTTCCGGCTCCGACTCTGCCTTGTCCAAGGCTCAGCCCGTCCTGGCCGCCTTGGCCAACTCGGCCGGGAACCAGAACCTCCACTTCATCCCTGGAGGGGTAGGGAACGGATCCAAGGTCAAGCTGGTCAACAACCTCTTGGCCGGCATTCACCTCGCCGTGGCGGCCGAGGGCATGGCTTTCGCAAAGTCCAAGGGGATGGATCTGGACAAGGTCTTTGACGTGGTCAAGAACGGAGCCGCGAGCAGCTACATGATGTGGGATCGGGTGCCGAGGATGTTTGAGCAAAAACCTCAGGTACACAGCGCCACGTCCACCTTGTCAAAGGACCTCGGCATCGTCATCACCGAGGCCAAGAAGATCAGCACCCCCTTGTTCCTGGGTCAGGCCGCCGCTCAGCAGTTCACCCGAGCCATCGCCGATGGCCATGGTGCAGAGGACGACAGCTCCCTCGGCAGGCTGTGGGAGAGCATGGGCGTCAGCTTGAGGCGATAGCCGAGCGGGACTGAGGGGTCGTCAGGAGAGCGAGATGTGTATCACTGTAGCCCGAGCTGAAATTGCATGCTATGCAGGGATAACGCTTTGGTGCACGCGGCGCCGTCATCCTTTGACACTGTACTCCTGGTCAGCTGTCTCACCCAGACTCGTTCACGCCGGTCCTTTGTCACAGCGTCTCCGGAACTTGTCAGGGGTCTGCAGATCTCTCGAAATCGAGTGAAAGGGAGCGCGTTGGGGGTGGAAGGGAGGAGGGGGGAAAGGGGACCGGGTCAAAGAGATTGGCAGTACCCATATACCGACCCACTGACATCCTTGTCAAGGTAATTGTTGATCTGATCGCTGCCAGCAGCCATCTAACCAGTACCCAGGATGAAGCTGTTTCTCGCACTGCTGACCTCGCTCGCCACGCATCAAGCCTGGGCCAACATTCCCCCACCCCAAGCGACATGCTGGACGACCTGCGCGTGTGACGCCGCTGAGCACTAGCAGCGGCGCCGACGGTCGCCCTGGCTGATGGTCAGAACGCTACGGACGTCTATCGAGATACCACTCCAACCTCTGATGGCCTGCGCGCCACCGTCACAGCGGCTAATCCCTCTGACGACGCTACCAGCTGGCATGTGCAGACCGACCATCCCGGCACCTCCCCCGGGACCACTTATACAGTTACATCGGAAACGACGGTACTTATCTCTGACAACTCCACTTCAATCCGCTGCGTTCCCGCCGATCCAGCCTGTACAATCACCTCACAGCCCCTCGATCCTACCATCACAGCCCTTAGCACCAGCGGCAACGCCACCATGTCCGCTATGCTCTCCTCAGCAGCGATGGGCTTCGCCCAGGGCCTGGCCGACAGCCAATGTCAGCCGGCATTCGACCAGTCCATCGTCAACATCCACAAGACCGTGGACGATACCGTCGTCATGGCCAAAGATCAAGGCGGAGTGCTCGTGCTCATACCCAAGGGCGTCCGGTATATAGTGAGCCATCCCTGGCGCCCTCTCACATCACTACACCGCCACAGCCGTACGACCCACTGACTCACCCCTCCCCAGCAACCGAGTCAGACGCAGTGGATCCCAGGCCCAACCTACCAGATATGGGCCAGTGCGCCTGCCGACACACCCACCCCACCGCCAAATTATAAGTGGGGTTCATACCCACCAACTGGACCCTCGAAATCACCAAATGCGACGGCCAGGTCATACCTGCACATGTGAGTCGAACTGAGCCCTCTCCTAATAACGGAACACCCGCTGATGACAACCACCGCAAGTGTTCAACCTTCTCAGGACCGACCGAGCCTCGAGGGCTGTCCAACTTGACCGTGCTGAACTCTGAGCCATACTTCCGCTTGGAGGACACGTCTGGTCTGTCGGTAGTATGCTCCTCTGGAGGGGTTGACGCCGGGAGCGTTACCATCACGCCTGTCAGTCCACCAGCTCCGTCCAAGACTTGATCCAGCGGGATGCTGTAGTTGAGCTTCGCATGCACCGCCTTTAGAGTCCTGCCCATCAATGATTCCAGTGCATATAGTATGACAGAGCATGGCGGTGACGCATAGTTAGTTGGTACCTCGCAGAAGTCGTCGCCTACGAGGCCGAACCAAAGAGATAAAATAGCGGTAAAAAAGATAAGCCCGATGTGGGGCTCGAACCCACAATCGTCCGATCAAGCTCGATCTTGTAAGATCTTAAACGCTAAGAGTCGGAAGCGATACCGATTTCGCCAACCGGGCCATGTTTTTCGGGGTTTTGGATATCTCATATCCCGTGCAAGCGTAACTGCTGATGAACTGATGAAACTGACGACCTGAATCCCGTTGGACCTCTCATACCCCACGACCGACATACCGTCACCACGACCAGCGGCTGTAGTCAATGCATGTGCAGCACGTTTTATCTATATGTCAGGCATGGCGTCGTCTATTCTGCCTTTTTCTTTCCCTTCCTGTTTCTGTCCGCTTCGCCCAGCGATACCCATAATGCGCAGAAAAGCAGGAAGGTAACGCTCGTACTAGCAGCAGCGATATAGTATGGCCACGCGCCGGTGATAAATCTCGGGTACTGGTCGTGACGGAGGGGTACAACCGACGCAGTGGTGGATGATCGAATGTAGCTCCACCTGGATAGACCTAGTCAGTTCGTGATCTCGAAGCGATCAGGAATTTGACTCACCCGGGCCTCCAGTACTCGACGACAAACTTGAAGACGCCGTGCCTGTCAGGAGCGTTGAAGCGAGCCTTGTAAGTCGTCCCGACAGCGGACGAAACGGTGTCGTCCTTCACAAGGGCGGTTCGGATGTGCGGGTCGAGCATGGTAAAGGCCATTTGCATGTCGTCAACGTCGAATGGTCCCCAGGCGGAAGAACCAGTCTTCGTGGTGTAGTGCTTGGCGAGAGTGATGGAAAAAGTCTGGGAGGCAGTCAGCAGTGGTACGCTGTTTCTCGCATGGAAGAGGGAAACTTACAACGTCGTCTTTCTTGGTATACAGCTCGCGTGGCTCGCTCTCTCCCGCTCGGAAATGGGTCGAATCAGTGATCTTGACCACTCCCGTCTCCTGGAAGAGCCATTTGGTGAAATCGGTAACGAGAGCAGCGTTGCCGGTTTCCACGCTGTCGGCAATCAGCTCGCTGTGCCTGCGATGCGCAGCCCATGTCGAAAAACTCACGTCTGACCGTCCTTGATCTGGACCGACTTTCCCCACCACTCATCGCTCGCAATAGCACCGCTTCCAACGAAACCAATCCTGACGTTGTCCCGAGTCTGCAATGCGGACACCAGGGAAGCCTTCTTGCCAGTCAGGATGGGTTCCCTTCCCTTTCCTCCGACGACGGCCTTCTCCACCTCCGCCTCATCAGCAGAGACCACCTTGTCCCGCCCCACGTAAGCCGTCTTTGAGGCGTGAAGCACGTCGACGAGGTAAGGGTTGAGTCCGGTCGTATGCACGGTGCCGCTAGGGTAGACGATCGGCCCGCCGGTCAATGTCGAAGGAGAGATTATTTCGCCGTAACCTTCCAAGGCGGAAGTTGGGGGCAGAAGGACGGTCGACGCGGATGATCCCGGGGCGTGGTTGAACGCGTCGATGAGGGTGAGTGAGGAGTCTGCGAACTCCACGTCGTATTCCCGAAGGAATTCTCTTGTTGATTCGGTCAACTCGGGCGAGAGGAAGAAGAGGGTGTTGACACCGCTGTACTGCGCCTCGACAATAGCTTTGGGCGAGAGCGAAGGTGAGAAAGCTGATAGAGAGCACAAAGTCAGTCTTGTTTCGTTGCGATGTCATCGGAAGCACAATGACCCTCGCTAGCGATCACTCACCCTTTGCGCTCGGCGCATACACGATCAAGTGATCATATTGCGTCTCGCCATACTCCAGAAGCGCGGCGTCCTTGGCCTTCGGTTCCTTGAATGTCAACTGGAACCCTCGGTCTATCATATCTCGTCAGTAAATCCCGGCTCAAAGGTCCTGGCTGAATGCCGTCCGCGAACTTGCCCTCTAATGACGCCCAGAACTTGGAATAGTCCTGCTTCGCGATGCTCGGCTCGAGCACTACCAGGACCTTGTCGCCCGTCGACGACCTGGCCGCGACGAGTGACACCAGGCCCAGTATAGGAGCGAGCAGGAACGCTGAGGGCTTCATGGTGTCGATGGTATGCGGGCCTTGGTATGGCGTTGATCAATAGAGCAACATCACCCTCATCCAGGCGGCTTCGCGGACGTGGAGGAGGGTGGGACTGCGGGGCAATCGACGGGTGCTGATGCGATCTTCCTCGTGTCATCCACGTGTTTGCCACAGGCCTTCTATTCCCGTAAACGCCGTCACCGCGGGCCTCCACCTGGGTTTTGCCACCCAACTCGAGATTTTCAACGATAGTGACGGATGTTGTGGTATAGCCTGGGAGCCCATCATACCACCAGTATCAGGCTTTGGATAACTTCAGGCCGAACAATTCGAGTAGACAAGCGCAACGCCACAGACATCACTCCCACCATGGCGCAGTCACAGACCTCCCCTACTATCCTCCTCTTCGCCCGAGGCACCCTCGCCCTTCTCGACATGTGGCCAGCTCTCACTGTGGCCGTCGCAGAACAATGGGGCGGCCCCGAATCAGCAGCCAAGAAGACTTGGCTCGCTTCGACACTGATCGACGAGTTTGAGGCGCGTGCGACCTACCTGCCTGTCACCGGCGCCGACGCCAACGCGCCTCAGGTGGTAGACCCTGCCAGCGCCAATGACCCTCCCTTGGACCATGACGAATTGGGCGACCTCCTGCATCAGATCATGAGCGACGAATTCGACGCCAACATTGAGGACGGATCCATAGACTCGGTAGCTGCCGACCTTGTGAGATTATGGCGTGACGTGCTTGGACCCGAGGGGTCTCTCCTCGTCCAGAACCTGGAGAGCAAGGCGGACGAAGTGAGAGGGAAAGCGCTGAATGGAAGCACGGTACCGGAGGAGGAAGTAAGCGGGGATGAGGATGACGACGAGGACGAGGATATGGAGGTGGACGGTGGGGCGCCTCAACTGGTTGAGAGCAGAGCTCCCAAGGAGAGGCAAGAACCGGTCGTAGACGACGACGGCTTCGAACTGGTACAAAAGAAGGGAAGAAGGTAGAGTGAACGGACGCCTTCGACGCAGTAATGTATACAAGATCGCATTAGATCCCAATCTACGCCTTCCCCGAAGACTACTCTTGACCGGGCTTGTACTCACAATAATGGTGGCTTGCGCGCCATAGGCGCTCAAGCTCATGTGGTCTCCGCTGATCCAACGTACCGAAGACACCTCATTCACCGGACGGGCTACACAAGGGTGCTCGTCCCAGGCGAATATCAGCGGGAAATTAACCCATCCTCTCTGCAGGACACAAGCACCAGCCAAGCATGTCTCGCGAAGCTCCTTCTGGCTTTGACGACGACAACGCGCCAAGCGTTTTCCGCCAAGGAATGAGCCGCTTTTTCACCGTCGTTGACTGTCACACATTGGACGGGGAGACGCGCCTGGTAACGACTGCTCCTTGTCATGACGGACGTGGTCTGTGTTAAAGGATCCGCGCAAACCAAACACGCGAAAGCATGCCGCTGATGCCCTGCTTTTCTGTTAGCGTTCCCATGGACTCGACATAAGGTTGAAACAGGGCCGCAAGGCTCGTCTCTGGCGGTTGTCGGAACGGGGTGCTGGGCTCGAGACGCGGGGCTTGGTTCACCCGCAAATAGAACTCTGACTTTGCAGGTTGGATCAGCTTTTGACCCGCACACCTGGCTCTCGGATACCGCCTTGTGCTCTCACTGCGGTGCGGCGCGGACCAACGACAACGGTCTTCTACGCACCAGCGGTCAAGTATCCTGACTACGACTTACTGACGAATGGAAAACGTGTCGCTGGTTCCGGGAAGGGGGCTTGAGTCTATAATGATAAGTCAGTAGCTATGGCCTATACCATCGGATCCACTTGAATGTAATAAACTTCGTGATCCAGCCAATTTGGCACCACTAGATTGCCTAACCAATAACAAGCGCCAGCGGACAACGCTGGAGCGATTGCATTTCGTATGTTATGAACAGTACATCGTATCCTTCTGCATTCATCGGCATTCATCTGCATTCATCTGCGTTCATGCAGCCTATCTGGGCGTGCGAGATATCCTCTACCCTTGAGGCGGCATGGTTTAGCGCTGAAGATGTAGACAGCGGAGTCAGAGGCACGGGCAGTCCTTGGTTGCTATGACGTCCGCTACACTGGTTGCCTTGAAGGAACTGAAACGTCGGACTCAAGTTCCAATCTAGGCAGATTGGCCGTCCGTGGTCCCCGCTGCGTACACCTCTTTTGATCTAGACGCCTTGCGTTGTTGCCTTCCTATAATGGAAGCCATACTAGCCAGTGAAAGGAAAGGGAAGGCCCTGCTTACAGTGCAGGCGGTGGCAATATCATAGGCCTCGTACCCTTCAGCCCGAAGATGACATATAAGGGCGATCATTGCTACTGCCATCCCTACAGGCGACCGAACATACCCTGAACAAACATGGCGATCAATCCGACAATCGAGCCGGTGAATGACGAACCGACGTTCGTTCCCTTCGTCACGGGCGACGGCTCTACCGTGCTCGGCACGTCGAGACGGACCATGATACCGATTCCAGGGAAAGACGGTGAGCCATCATACCTACAATGAGTTGGTGTGCTGCTGGTCGCCGTCAAGACTGTAACCTTCTCCTGTAAATTGCACCGACACAAGCTGACTCGTCCATCGCCCGCAGCTTTCCTGTCCATCGAGGAGCGAACAGACGGCAGGGGCTGCTTTGAGACCAGGCGCGCCTGCCACAGCACATCGGGCAATGGTGAGCAAAAGATAACTTATGCCTTTCAATAACCGTAGCTGACCTGCACTCCTCTGCCCCGTTAGATCCTCATGTCTGGGGGACCCGGTCAGGAACGACTGGTGAACCCTTGGAATTCGTGTGTACGAACTGTTTTACGAGCTGCATTCCGGGATCAAACGGGACTTATACCCTTCAAGCATGGAGTGTGACTTCGAGGGCACCGTCCACTCGACCGTCTACCCAGCAAAGTCAGCAGGGGCCTTCCTAGGCGGCTTGCGATTACAGACTGGCTCATAGCCTTCGACGGCTCAGCGCTCGTTCTTCTTCATGGTCTAGGAGGGTCGGGAGGTGTAGTAGATCATAGGCAGACTACGTGCAATACCTTTTGTATCTGATCGCAAATGACGATGCACCG